TGAAGGTATTTGATTTGTTCGATTTATTTTTATTTTTTTATTTGTTGAGTTGCTCCCCGATCCGGGGGCGGAGTTTGGGGACGCTTTTGGAGTGTACGTCTTTTCAAGTATTGAAAGTCGGTCTCGCTGGTTTCTGAAAAGGGTGTCTCGTCTTCCGAGTCTTCTCAAGAAGTGTTCTTATCCAGATCCATGAAAAGTGAAAGACAGAGAGACAAAAAAAAAAAAAAAAAAATATATATATATATATATATATATATATATATATATATATATATATATTTAAACCTAAATATTAAAATGAAACTTATGAGATAGCTTCTTAAGAACTTAACTATTTACAGATTATTTACAAATATAAAATTATTCATTTCCGAAAGTAAATAATAAATGAAAAAAAAAACTTGAAAAAAAATTAAAAATATAAAGAAAAAAAATTAATATGTCTTGGATTCGAACTGTGAACAAAGCCGAGGAATGTTAGTATACACAAAGCCGAGATCCTTGACCGTGAACTTATTACAGATAACTTAAAATCCTCAAGGGATTACGAATTTTTTTTTTATTATGGCTTGCCGAACAATCACTGATTTATTACTGCTTCATTGTTAATCAATAGTTACTAACCTGAACATATGTGAATATAAAAATATACAGCTGTTTATATAGTCTTACAGCAGAATTTTAGAATAATAATTAGAAATAATTAATTAAAATAGAACATTGAAGATAATATTTCATAATTCAATTGTAGATTGATTTTCAATCTACAAATAACAACAAAATAACGTTACCTGCAGTTATTGAATACTTAGGATATGGATTTTTTTCATTTTCGTATATCTTCCATTCCGCTTCCTATTAGCTTCTAAACACCAGACTTAGTTTCAACTTTTTTGTACTTTTTTTGTACAACTGGTTATATATTTTAGAATTTTGAGTGTTTTAAAGCTATTTGGAGCTTTAGAACTCTCTCTGAGTGACAGCTCTTGATGATTGAATTTCCTGTGACTGACGATGTTGACTTATAAACCTTTCTGTACAGATAAACCCAGAGTACAGCGGTCTTTTATTAGACCTTCTGAAAGTTCCTTTTACTGTTGACCTTAGAAAATTTAATCACTGTTTTCTTAATGATAATTTTTTCTACATTACGATGGCGTACTTAGAGTTTAAGTACCTTAAATAGTTTTTTAGCATTTCCTTTTTATTCAACTTAAACGTGACTACCTTAAATTGGTCTTAACTCCTTTTTCTGTTCAGAATCGGTCCATGCATTAAAGAACTTTTTTGTTTGAAATTTTTTTAGAATCACTCCCCAGAGTTTCGCTATTAAGAACTAAGACACCATATATATATATATATATATATATATATATATATATATATATATATATATATATATATTTTATGTATTTTATTTATAGTAAATAGTAAATGTATTTTAATTATTAACATTTATATCGCTTTTATGTTATGAATGAACACTGTAGCCCTAATACTTAATGCCCTTCAAGGTGGCAGATTGTATTAATACTCAATAAACTCGTTAAAATAAAAACAAATGAATGTCAAATTCGCTGATATTTGGAGAAAAAGAAAAAAAATTATATTAAACGAAATAGAAATAACAATATTTTATATCAGTCAGTCATGGATGGTATGTCATTACGAAATAAAGTCATAAGTGGCTTTGAATTGTTAGTCAGGTTTACATTATTATTATTATTATGGGATGACTTTTAAGTAATCGATTGACTCGAAGGGCATTAGAATTAAATTATTTTAAACTAGGAAGCCCCAGTAATAAGCATGATCTAACATTTTTCATTTTTCTAGGTTGTGAGGATTTGCCGAAGCCCGTTCGTTCCCTTCACGCTGTGTTGCGTAATATATTACAGGTATCATACTATCCAATAATAATGAATAAATAAATATTTTATTTGCACATAGTTATTTTAATTTACTGATAAAAATTCAGATGTAAAATCTTTATATGTTAAGAATTTTTATTATAATTAAAATAGAAAATTATAAAAACAAATAAATAATTAACTATAGTATGTGGTAATCGATCATGGATATTTCAAGTTCAGTTAAGTGCATTCATTGATAATTGTTTATTGATTTATTAAGTAAATGTAGTTTTAAAAAAATAATAAAATACTTATATAGGCCAGGGGGAAAAGAGGAGTGAATTAAAAATTGAAAATTTCATTAATTCACTGAAAGTCCACAGATTTATTAGTTTGAAACTTTACAAGATTTAAATAACTCTCTTTGTCTAGTTGCAAATGATTGTTACCCGCACCGCTAATCTCTGGAATTCTCTCCCTTTAAAAATCCGATTAAATGATTATATATATATATATATATATATATATATATATATATATATATATATATATATATATATATATATTTTTTTTTTTTTTTTTTTTCTTTTTTTTCATTACTTTTCATGAACTTGTGGATATTCTTACGTGTACTTATAAACCCGTAAATATATTTTTTATACCGTGTCATTGCACAAGATTACTGTGCTCTTAAATTTCTTAAATTTATTTATTTTCTTAATATTTTTGTTATAGATGTTTTAATTCTTACCTAAATAGAATATATAAATCTTTATTTCTTTATATTTTACTTCAAGTTAGTTATTCTTACTTGGTGCTCATTTACTAGAGGAATTAGTCTTTTATTTGTTGCTTTTGTTCCTATCTGTTTTATTTCTTTTTATTATTTTTTTAGTTAAACAGTGATTATTTTGTTTTATTTCTTATTTGTATTGTAAGAAACCTCGTAAGTTAATCTGTTTTTGTAAACCACATTACTCCAATTTCTGTGCTATATATGCCTAGAGAGATTTGAAAGTACGTCTGTATCTTAACCGATAAATGATATTAAAGACCATTTAAATATACATTGATACACCGAGTTTAATCAATATCGTTAGCCGTTTTTGAGAAAATTGTAAAAATGGGTAAAATCAATGATATATATATATGACACTTACGGTTAGCCGATTTTAAGAAAACAGTTATAACCCAGGAATAAACCTAACTGAATATGTACTTTCAGTTTCATACGATATTTTGTTTTAGAACTAGGCTCTTCACATACTTAGACATACACACACACTGACTCACACACAGATCATTAGGCGGGACTTGGTTATTTCGACTCAGAGGACCTCAAAATGTGTATTTCCGTTGTAATTTTCGAGATTGCAAAATTTTCTCTTCCTATATATTACATATATAGACAAATGAAGTAAAAAAATCAACTTATCAGCGGAAAGATGAAATGATATTGTAAATTAATTTATTGCATACTATTAATTTATTTAACTGTAATATATTTTATTTATTCACAAAAATAATGATATTTCACGATTTTGGTCAATACTAAAAATTTGTAAAAATATATATTAATAAATGAAAGTAAAATAGTAATAGAAAAAAATTATATTTCAATAAAATATAGATGACTTACATTTAAAAATATTTAAGTCGATAAAACAAATTTTAGACACAAGGAAACAAAATACTATTTCTACTAGTGAAAAGTAACTATTTTTTTTTTTTTTTTTTTTTGTTGCTATATATTCGAAAATTCCGCATTGTTGACACATTATAGCATAAAAAGTGCCCACTGAAGTAAAAGGATATTTGAAAGAAATATAATAAGCATATGAAGAAATGTAGTCTTGAAGTTGATTTTTAACGCCTCTAAGAAGACTGTAGGTTATTCTGTTTATTTAAGAGAATTTGTTTCGGTTTCTTCATTAGTTATTTAATTTTTTTTTATCACATGCATAATTAGAAAAATTTGATTTTTTTCGATATTTTGTAATTTCTCTATTATTATAATTTTGTTTGATTTTCTTTTTCATTGAACTCATACCATTATTACTAATCTCTTACCATTTGATTTTATAACTATCACAATTTAATTTATAATGTATGGACCATGTAAAAATTAACAAATAAGATATAAATATACACACATGTATATATGTTGTACAGAATTACTTAATTTTTTATTTTTAGTTTAATTTGTTGCAATTCTATTTTTGAGTTTATCCTTCAAACGATTTTTGGCTAAGGTTCACCTAAAAATAAGTTTTCTTTACTATCCTTTTATTTTTGTCGATATTTCGGTTTCATGAGGCTTTTCCAAGTATGTTAGGGTTGTAAAAATTATAATTAGTCATAGGACATTATTAATACAAGATCAATTGTAAACTTTATGTATATACCTTGTCAGCATTATTTTGAATGAGAAATGCTTTATTAAATATGCATAAATTATAAATTTCCAAAATACACAGAACATTTATACGACATGATTATTCGTCTTACGGAAATTTATATGTTTTACAGTTACAGTACGAATACATGAACGACTGATAAATAATTAAACAACTAATACAATATAAAATATTATCATTTTGAATAATTTATGTCTAAGAAATAATAATAAAGAAAAATAAGGGAAATCATAAACAATAACATGAATAAAACTGACCACAAATAAATTGTCAGCATTGTTATATAATATATTTAAATAAGTATATAATATAACTAAATTAGATTATTTTACATTTCATTAAATTTAATTACCTATATGCATCATCCTTAATTTTTTATAATTTTAATAGAAAAATCGTCCTTGTAATCCATTCTTCGTTTTAGAGTAATTTAACTTAACTTCCGTATTGTTCTATAGCCTTTTGTATCTTATTCGTTCTAGCCCTGAAGACTTGCAAAGTCGGCTTGAAACGTTGGTTTTAAAATGAAATAGCTATTTTACTATTTTGGTCTTTTTATGTCTGCTACCGATGACCATCTTCTTTCTGAAAATTGTTTTTATATTGAATATTTGGATTTGATGTTCACCGTGACCTATTACGCGGGTACATTTCCTTTGATCGGTAACCGTTGGCAACAAGGAGCCAATATCACGTGACGGAAGTGGGGGTAGGTCTAGGGAAGCCTCGTCCAAGCCGCTTTGCGGGGCATCGCCAATTCAGTTGTGTCAGCGGGTGCGCCTGGAAAGGCCATGTCGAAAGTACGCACGTACGTCAAAAGTGAGTATATGCTGATTTATTTTTTCTTACCCTTATAATTATAAGGGTTATAATTATAATTAACAAAACTTTGTCGTTGGTATTGATACCCAATATGAACAAAGTATGTTTCGATAGTAATAAATATACAATGCTCCATGGTATACCAAGTTTCTAAAACAAACACTGTACTCCGCGGCACTAGCAGATCCAAGATTTAATTTTGGGGGCTTCAGCCCGAAAGCTTTTTTTTTCATAAAAATGACGATAATTACTTTGTAAAAAAAGAAACAAGCTAACTATCTATCCGAAATGGTGTTTAAGTGATTCCTTAAGTCCTTTTAAATGTAATTACACGAACAATAATACTTTTTTAATATATTTTTCCATAAAACACGGTTATATTTTACCATTTTGGGAGGGAGGGGGCTTCAGTCCGAAAGCATCCCCTGTAGATCCGCCCGTGCTACGCGGTACAAACCCCTTTTTTTATAAAATTATTAACAACACTTGATGAATGGCTCATCGTAACTTACAACTTTTTTATTTACGAAAATTCTCAGCTTTCGGGAGTTTTCTCATTAAATCAATTAATTTAATGAGGTAATAAAAACTCATGAATAGCCATTTTCTTTCCACTCGTAAGGTAATTTGATAAAAATACCGATAAAGGAAGTAGACAAAAATATTGGGCCGGTTGGCCTGTATAACCTTGTTATATTGGAAGTGGAAGTCACGTAAAACGGACCAATATTTATGTAGGCCATCTTTCTTCTTGATTATGTGGTTAAATTATCTTACGTTAGTTTTTACTATCTTCATATTTCACGAAATATTCAAAGTTTGCTTATCTCCAGATTGAAAACGCCCCATTTCCGAGAATTTTCGTAAACAAAAAATTTCTAGATTACCATAAAATACCGTTTACGAAGTTTTAGGCGGATTTTAATAATTCAATAAAAAAGGATCTGTACTACGGACTATAACTGTAAGAGTGAGAATGGAGGAACTTTTAAATAAAATAAAAACAGATGTTAAAATTTATTAATATTAATATTGTTCGTAAGGAAATGTTTAAAAAAAAAAAGAATAGTTGTTAATCTAGTGACAGAAGATTCATAGGATATTCTCGGTTCCACGAAGATCAGGACATCGTCTTAGATAGCCATGGCCTTTAATTTTTAATATTTACACAAATAAAAAGTTATACAATTAAAATTAAAGTATTAAGACCCTGTCTGACAGTTCTTTTAAAGACCTACACGGCAGGTCAAATATACGTACATACATTTAGGTAATTAAAAATAAATTATATTTTTAAAACGTTTTACAACTTCTATATTTCTATCGGATGAGAGGTGTTAGTATCTGTACTGGAAATTAGGGAAAGAGATTTGAACATATTGTCAAATTAAGTACTTTACTTTATTTACTAATATAACTAATTAATATTAATGTGAAAAATATTATTCTGATGCAATGCCGAGCCTAATATTGTATTGAAATTAAACTTTATCCGACAATTACTATACACACATAAAAAAGGCTTAACGATCTTTATATAACATCCATGAAATGGTATTGAAATTATTATAACATTTTAAATTCGTGCTGAGATTATTTAAAATACATTGTACCTAAATTCGTTACATTTATTGATTTAGGGGCATGAATATCATTTACATAATTCATATAAGATGAGGAAATCGTTAGTCCCTAACCGAATAAGTACTCTAATGTTTTATAATTATCTTCCACTTTTATTATTAATTTGTTTGTTAAAAAAAAACTACACAATAAATATTTATTAATAAATGCTTCCTCAACTCCATACCTATAACAACATAGAATTCTTCATAACGTTCCAATTAAATAAGTACCATTTCAATATTATTATTTTCTCGTTTAAGGTGAGGAACCTTAATAAACCTAAAGAGGTAACTACACAAATAATGTATTCTAATGGAGTCGTTCATTTCCAAAGTGAACCCTTATCATAATTAATATCTTTTCAGGAAAAGCTAAAATCTATACTTTCTATTCCAATTTCAATATCAAAACGGAAATGCTTTAAAAAATAAATTCTTTATTTGTGTAAAATATTTCCGAAAATCGCTGATTAATCTAGTAGTACTTTAAAAAATTGAAATATGAATAAATAAATAAACTTTAAAACTCGTTTTTGAGAAAAAAAAAATGCATTTTAGTTTGTTTTGAATGAAAAAATGGTGTATGTATCGGAGGGAAGAGGGGATTTATAAAAATGTTACAGTAAAAAATTAACTTTTTGTTTATAATAATACTAAAATAAAATAAATTTATTTTAATTTTCATTTGAATAAATTGGTTAAAAAAGCTTTGATGATTTTTTTTTAAAGAATGCTTTATAATTTTTATGACATTCCTTAAAAAAAAAAAAGGCTATTTCGGAAATAAACTTATTTTCGCACCAGGTTTTTTTTTATTATATTTAGTTTGAAACAAAAGATATATGTACTCTCAGATTCTTAGGGTGTTCCTACATCGATACTTATCTTAATTTCCATAAAAATCTATTGCAATTTGGAAGTAAGCAACTCAAATGACTGTGACAGAAATTGGGTGCTCCATGCGCAATAGCTGCTGCGCAATAAATTAAAAAAAAAATTCTGTAGACTGTAGCGCGACTATTAACATAGTATATAATATTTCGGACAACTATTAATGAAGTTATAGCTATTTCAATTTCCAATTCAAGATCATGGGTTCATATCCTGGTGTCAGAAAGGGTTGAATAAGAAAAAAAAAACTAAGTGAAAGTAAGAAAATCTGTTCCCCGCATCACACAAGCTTCACTATTTCCGCTACTTTTAACAGTAATTATTGTTTGACAAAATTACTTAAAGCCGGTTTACATTGCTTTAGTTTATCAAATAAATTGCACTTAAATCTTTTCTTTAATCAATTTGCAGAAAAATAAATTTAATTCAATGATTTTTTGTTTCTTGATGAACATATGTAATGATATAAATACTTTTCTGAAATAGGAAAGTCGTGAGAGTGGACACACTAGATTTTTTTATTCTGGATTTGATGACAATTTTACTGAAAATTTGTTAACTTTTGGCTATAATTAATATTTGCGTACAGGATAGAAATGTAAAAACGTTTCGTTGCCAATTCAAGTTTCTTTTTTGGCAATTAAAAAGATGAATGAAAAAAACTGTTTTCCAATAAGACTTGGCAAATCATCTACTACTTGACGCATGAGAACAAAATGTAAGGCATTATCACGTCAGTAGCCTATTCAAAATTCTTCTTAAAACATTTTTACCTACATATCCTTACGACTAATATTGTTAATTAAATTTAAAACCATTAGTGTTTTCTTTTAAAATTTAATTTTAAAGAAAGCAGAAAGCCACAAACAAATAATAAGATTTACAAATTCGTTATTTTAGCATTTCGTTACCCAGAAGTGGACGGAATTTGATTACTGGACAAGGTATAAAGAACAGTCTAATGACAAAATAATCTGCTATCATTTAATAAGGGAATAATTACACAATTATTCACACCAATATTGGTATAAATAATAAGAACATTGTTAGCTTTAGTTATAATTACCTCTAATTACCAATCTACCAGTTAATAATAAAATGGCGCTAAATATTGGAACCAGTTTTCCAGCTTGCATAGGTAATATCTACTTGACATATGGAGGCTTTACACCCATTATGGAATAAATGGCCGCCAAAAAAAAAAAAAAGAAAGAGTCAGAGCCGAAAAAGCAAGCTAAATACCATCCAACAACCTAAAAGCCGCCTATATTCCACAATCATAAATATTGATTGTCACAATCAATAATTGTAGCATTTGGTTCTTAGTTTGTATAACAAATAATTAAATATACAAAATTAAACATATTTTTTTGGCTGTATGAATGTATTTTCCCCTGTCAATTTAATTAAACATAATAATTTGCATTTTTATATTTCTATCAATATTTACATTTATTTGCTATAGGCAATATTTCTTTCTTATTCTACTTTAAAAAAAAATAAAGAAGAAGAAATAGATTTGTATTCAATAACCTAGAAATCTGGAAAAATCAAAGAAAAAATAACAACATATTTTTGTTTTGAAATTATGTACATATTTTTCTCCCCTATGGCCCATTGGAATCAGAGCCATAGACATATTTCTAATATTTTTTAAGAAAGTATCACCAAGAAAACATATTGCTAAAAATTGTGACCCACTGTACTCTCCTCCTAAGACAGGACAAATTTATTTTGATTATTTAAGACTGGCAATTGGATTTAGCGGACTGACAAACTGACTACCTTTGAAAAAAGCAAAAGAGGTTTCTTATTTTTTCAAGTTTATTTAAATTTTATTTTAGTTAAACAAATACATGTTTATAATCAAATAGATAAATACAGAAGCATATTAAGTTCAGTTTCCATTTTTTCAAATTATTTTATTTAGAAGCGATACTATCTACCCCACTCAAGACCAATAATTATTAGTTTCCATTCTTAGCACACATGAAGAGCAATAAAAAATAATATTGAATTAAATAAGTAAAATAAAAATAATAATGGTAAAATAAGTGAATTAATATAAGAAATTACTAAATAAAGCATCTATTTAATTAAATATATATAAACTTGATTAAACCCTATACAAAATTAAATAAATGCTCTGTTTTTAACAATAACTTACTTATAAACTCTAAATGTTAAAGGAGGATTCTCGTAAGATTTTCGATGCTGAAAACGTCAACATGTAAAATTAGAAAACATCTAATGTCTTAGATATGCAAAATCAAAATAACGTATTAAAATATTATATTATTAAAATAGCTGATTAAAATTTTCATTATAACTGATGATATGAGCTCAGCCGGATAAAACTAATCCGGCATGACGGTGAGGTATGGCAGGTCTGACGCGGAGTACACTTCAGGCTGAATCGTACGTACCACATCATAGATAATCCGATTACGGGGTTTGTTTGTCACATTAATTCAACTAAAT